AGCCCTCTGGTGCTGCCTACAGGGGCCCTTCTCTGTGGCTCCTGATCCCAGCTCAGGAGGGGCTCCCGTGCTCACCTTTGAGTGCTGTCTTCAGCCTCTACTGGGCTCCCCCATGACCAGCCAGCCCCGGTAGCTCTTGACTGGGCTGGGCCTAAGGACAGCACCTGGGGAAAAGAGGCGAAGGGAACGGCCTCAGGTGTGGAGCGCAGGGCGGGTTCTGTCCTGCAGGCCCTGGGCGGGGCTGACAGCGCTCGGGACAGGGGCTCCTGTGCAGTCCGTGGCGTGCAACGGTTGTGGTTGGCTGAAAGCCCACCAGGCTTGGCTTCTGGAGGGGCCTGGGCATCAGCCAGGCACCTGCTGCTCAGTTTAGAAACCCCACGCTTGTGGGATTACACAAGAAGCTGAAGCAGGAAAGCACCCACCCTCTAGTCCCAGCAGGAGGCAGGGGTGGACTTGGGCAGGGTGTGTGCGGGCGGACGCTGCTGGCCCGGCATGATGCCGTGTGAGGGTCAGGGTGGGAACTTCAAGCGGCGCGGCTCTGTCCCCAGCAGGGCTCCGAACCTCTCTCTCCAACCCTCTCTTCCCGGCTTTCGCCGAGTCCTTCGGTCTAAACACCCGCTGCTGCACCCCCCGAGTGCGGCCGGCCTGCGCGGATGGGGACGCCTGCGCCCTGTCCGCCGCCTCGGCCAGGCGCAACCTGAACTCCCCGGCCCGGCCGGCTTCTCCCCAGGACAGACTGGTCGGACCGGCCCCAAAGTGGCAGCAACCCGGCCCTACCCACTCGAGACTCCTAATTCCTGAGCTCCATTCTGGATCTTTCCTCTTACGGGGGGTGGGGGGACAGGATGATGCGCCCTCGAGAGGTGGCTCCCCGCCGGAGGCTCCCCTCTGGCCATAGGAGGCGCCTTCGGGGTCTCCAGCTCTCGGCCGCTCCCCCCGCGCCCCTCCCGGCGGCACAGGGTGGACTGCGGACCCCAAGGTCCAGCGTCCCCGCAGGCTGGAGAGGCGGCGTGGGCAGCTGGACCCACCTGCCGGACCGGCGGCGCGCGCGCGTGCCCGGGGCCGCCTGTAGTCTGGGAGCGCGCGACCCGCGTCAGGCGCTGCCGGGGCCGCAGTGAGCTCATCTCCTCGCGCGGCGCCGGGGAAGGGCCGGCTCGCCCGCGCCACCTGCCGGGCCCCCGCGGCACTGCCCTGGCCGCCCGGCCGCCCCGGAAGCCGAGTCGCCCGCATGGGGCCCCGGCGGAGACGCGGAGGACCTTGCGACGCTGCCACTCCCAACCAGGTGGAGCTCGCTCGGCCTGTCCCCTCCTCACCCGGTGCGCCCCGGCCCTGTCCGGGCCCACGCCGGACCCGCCAGCTCCTCGGTCTTGCGCATGGCCCCGCACCCGGCCCTCCCCGAGCTCAGGTGCACTGGGGCTGAGGGCGCGGAAGACACCGCTGGGCCGCGCGGCGTGGAAGAAGCCTGCAGAGGGTGTGGTGGGGACACGGTGGCAGGAGAGACGGTATCTGCCCTGGTCACACCACGTTCCCCGCTCCATCCCAGGCAGAGAAGGCAGGGGCTGCAGGGCGGGGGCCAGCCACGATCTCCTCCCGCTCCAAGGAGGACGTGGGCGTAGCGAGTTTCAGGTCCGAGGGGCAGCGCCGAGAAAGGGGCCCCGTGGGCAACTCGCGGCCGTCGGGTGTTGCGAGTGCCCCTGAAGGGGCGCGGACCCCACCGCCCGGCGTCTGCCCTGGGTGACGGGAGGGCACCTAGAAGGCGGGAAGAACTGCCGCGGCTCCTGCCACGGGACTGGGAGAAGCGCTGCCGGCGCTGCCCGCGTTGCGTCCTCCTCTTAAAAGAACGGCCAAAGTGGTCACCGAAAACGGACGAGGAAAAGAACGCTCAGCTGCAGCAAAAGAAACTAATGGGCAGGAGAAAGGAAGAGAATACAGTTTAACGGAATTTCATAAAAAATACATTCAGGCCGTGCGGGGCGGCTTACACCTGTAATCCCAGCAGTTTGGGAGGCCAAGGTGGGCAGATCACCTGAGGTTGAGACCAACCTGACCAACATGGAGAAACCCCATCTCTACTAAAAATATAAAAAATTGGCCGGGCATGGTTGCGCGTGCCTGTAATCCCAGCTACTCAGGAGACTGAGGCCAGAGAATCGCTTGAACCCGGGAGGCGGAGGTTTCGGTGAGCCGAGATTGCGCCATTACACTCCAGCCTGGGCAACAAGAGCCAGACTCCGCCTCAAAAAAAAAAAACAAAAACAAAACATTCAGGCAGCTGCATCCCCGCGGACTCCGCCGCAGCCTGGACCTTGGGAACCAGCAGCCCAGAGCCAAGAAGCCCCAGCATTCAGGGCCCAGACAGACCCCAAAATCCCAGACCAGAGGCAGGGAAGGATGGTGCGTGGAGCCCAGGACCCACACACCAGGGCCAGGGCTGGAGAGGGAGGCAGAATGGAGAGCTCCCCCCAGGTGAAAGCAACCCCACAGGCCAGGCAGGTGGAGGGAAGGGTGAAGGTCGTGTTCTGGAGACCTCCTCTCAGCCTGGAACTGGTTTCTCCTCTGCCTCTCCACCTGTGGGTGTCCCTGTGCTTTGGTAACACCCTAGGCACCAGCTGTGCCCTCACCAGGCTGCCCACCCGCCCCTTCCTTCTGCCATCCCCATCAGGGGGCTGCTTCAGAGCCCCCGCCCTTCTGGGGCTACAAAGGAGGACACACCCAAGCAGGCATTGAGTACTGATGCCACCTGTCCTGCCAACAGCTCCTCACCCAGCAAGGCTGACCCAGCCCAGGGTGAAAGAGGAGCCTGTAGACTGGGGAAAGGCTGCACCTTCATCCATGCCTGCCTATGGCATGGCCTCTTTGCTTCCTGCACAGGCGCTGAGATCTGCTTCCCATGGAGTCCCACTGAGCCCCACGGCCATGGCCATCCTGGTCCTGGGAGAGGACAGCCTGGGTAGTGGTGTGTCTGCAGACACCAAGATCTGGGCATGGGGCCCAGGAAGTGACTGGCTCAGCCTGGAGTCTCCACCAGCACTAGCAGAGCTGCCAAGGGCTGCAGCTATGGAGAACAAGGGATTTGAGGAAGGCAGAAGTCCCTTCCCTGAAACTTTGTGAGCAGGAAGGAGATGGTCCAGAGGAGATGGAGGAATAGGATAAGGAATGTGCATTTAGCTTTAACGTCTATTAAATAGGTTGGGAAAAACAGGCCAAGTGTGGGGACCTGACTCCTGCAGAGGCCCCAGCACAGCCCTCTGCACTCCAGCTGCAGCCCCATCCAGACCAGGAGCTGTCGGGTGTTGTGTTCTGGCTGAGACGGGTGTAGGATGGCGTCTGTTTCCTTTGGAGTGTGGGCTGGTCAGAGGAGAACCAGCAACTTCATGCTCCTTCTCACTACCTCGTTGGATCGTTGGTTCACCACAGACCACGTCCTGGATTCCCTCTGATTCGCTCACTGGGAATGCCCTGGACCTTCTGGTGGTGTCCCAGCTGGGTGGGTTCAAGGCCGCCACCCTGCTCAGGGCAGCTAGCCTGCAGGGAAGGGCCAGGTGGCACCTCTCAGTGGAGACTGAGTCTTCCTTCCTTCAGGAGGCTGCCTCCAGGGACGACCTGGGGTCCTTCCTGCCCTCAGCGCTGGCTGGTTGTCTTGTTCATGCAGTGGAAGATGTTACAGAAGAGTTCATACCAGAAGAACATGAAGCCCGTGGAGAGGGCAGCCTTGAGCAGGCTGGGGGACAGGCCCTTGAAGAAGCCCAGGGTACCTTCCTCTTGCAGCACCTGCTTGGTACAGTCCACGAGGCCCTTGTATTTCCGCACCTGGGGAAAGGAAGGGGCGAGAGATGGATGTCCACTCTGCTGCCATCAACACAGGCCCTGGCACGCCACAGCTCTCAAGAAGTACTTGCTGGACAAAGCAACGAATGCAAAATAGCAAATATTTTTATTTTTATTTTTTGTTGAGGCAGAGTCTCACTCTGTCGCCCAGGCTGGAGTGCAGTGGCACAATCTTGGCTCCCTACAGCCTCTGCCTCCCGGGTTCAAGCGATTCTCCTGCCTCATCCTTCCAAGTAGCTGGGATTACCAGCGCACACCACCACACCTGGCTAATTTTTTGTATGTTTAGTAGAGACGGGTTTCACCATGTTGGCCAGGCTGGTCTTGAACTCCTAACCTCAGGTGATCCACCCGCCTCGGCCTCCCAAAGTGCTGGGATTACAGGCTTGAGCCACCGCGCCCGGCTTGTGTCTTGCTAATTGTTGAAGACAAACTTCTGTCCCGCGTGTTACAGCAGGAAGGCATCAGGCCAGGGGAATAACTATAGCTCCTCTGGCAAATGGAATATTCTCCATCTTCTGTCTCAAAGCAGGCAGCTGTGCATTCAAGAGAGGGGGCTATCACAATGCAGAAACGGGCAATTCAAATGTAAGCCCTTCAAGGGTAGGAGCTATGTTCTTTTTTATGGTTAAACTTTTTTTAATCTGAGGCACGGTCTCGCTCTGTTAGCCAGGCTGGAGTTCAGTGGCTGGCTCATGGAACCTGCACCCTCACCCTCCCAGGCTCAATCAGTCCTCCTGCCTCAGCATCTTAAGTAGCTGGGACACAGGTGCGTGCCACTATGCTGGCCTAATTTTTCAATTTTTCAATTTTTTTTTTTTTGGTAGAGATGGGGTTTGCCCCATGTTTCCCAGACTGCTCCTGAAGTCCTGGACTCAAGCAATCCACCCACGTTGGCCTTCCAAAGTGCTGGAACTACAGGCATGAGCCACTGCTCCTGGCCCTATGGTTAAGCTTTTTAAAAAGTCTTTACAGCCTGAAAGGTGACTGTGACTCATACTCCAGAATAATGACCTAAAATGTAGCTTGTCTTCCAGTTCAAGAATTACACTGGCGACTCCTATCATCACAGAATGATGGAGGCATTCACCAGGCTCAGCCCTCTGGTGCTGCCTACAGGGGCCCTTCTCTGTGGCTCCTGATCCCAGCTCAGGAGGGGCTCCCGTGCTCACCTTTGAGTGCTGTCTTCAGCAGCTGCTGGGTCTCTGCATCAAAAGACTGGATTTTATACTCCTCTCTACTGGGCTCCCCCATGACCAGCCAGCCCCGGTAGCTCTTGACTGGGCTGGGCCTAAGGACAGCACCTGGGGAAAAGAGGCGAAGGGAACGGCCTCAGGTGTGGAGCGCAGGGCGGGT